ATATTTTATATATTTATTTTATATATATATTATTTTCTCTACTTTTTTATATATGCATCAATATTTTAAATATTTTTCTTTTTTAAAGAAAATACGGAAAGTGCAAATAGTTATTATTAAACTCAAGTTTCCTTATTAAACAAATATTTTAAACTTAATTTGATAATATTAAAATAAATTGATAAAAATATCATATGTTATACTTTAATAAATATTAAATTAGTTAATATAAAAGAGAGAGAGAGAGAGAGAGGGAGAGAGAGAGGAAGAGAGTAATTATATATATATTATTGAACTTTTCCTATATAATAAATTACGCGTTCTCTAATATATACTTTGTCAGAAGATACGCTAATAGCCTTTAAAACTTCGCATTAAGTTTCTATTATCACACAAATTTTACTTCTGCATTATAGTATTATATTTTCTTGTCGTTTTTTATTCGAAAGCGGCAGAACCCGGAACGGATGCTTATTTTTCTCCCGCTAAGAATAACAAATATTACATAAAGCATATAATCGATACATGATTAATTGCAGAATATAATAAACAGCTAATTACAGAATAATAAACTATGTATTTATGGGCATACCTGGTGAAATAATCGTCGTCATATTTTCAACGCACTTTGGCGAGGCGCATGAAGATTTCGATCGAACCCGATCGCGCAAAGACGAATCTTATTTTTACCGAAATCGCGTATAAAATCACGAAACTCTACACAACGTTTATGTTATAACAAACACTTTACGCAGCACTTTCGATAATTTCGATAATTTCGCACGGCAGAATTCAGTTTTAGGCAATTAATCGCGAAAAATATCGGAGTACGAGTCGACGCGACGCGCACTTTTTAACGACCTGTCTATGGCGAACTGCAATCTATCGAAGAGCAATATTGCGATTCTCGAAACGACCTCTATCGATTGCCGTCCGTCAATGGCCGACGAACCAATCAGAACGGTCCACGAAACGTTCGGTATCGGTGGGATGCCGCCAGTGCATCCCGAGAACTTTATATGGAGGTGATATAGTGCGTACGTGTAACGTGTAGTTCGTGTGCTTCTGTGCTTTGCTATAACGGAAAAAGTGAATGACTGTTAGCGATGTCTCGAGTCGTTTGTGAAGTCTGCAGTAAAATGTTGGGGCTTTTAGGTGAGCGATAAACACGCGCCTCTTATTAAATTGCCGGCTCGATGATGCCGGCCGCTCTGCGATGATTTTTGACATTGCGATCAGTAAATTTGACGAGTTATCATCCCGAGCTTTGTATGGGTGATACCGCAACAAGTGTCTCTTGTTAAATCCGGTTTCGTTAAAGCTTCGTAATTCCTGCGCGTTTTTTTAGTTCTTATATGTAATTCAAAATGATTATGTGAGAATTTTCATATACATCTGAGATAATACATCTATGTTTCTTCTTGCTTTTAGGTTTTTTGCTGCTAGTTACTGGGACGAATTGCATGTATGCATCCAATTCAGCTGTCATCGATCTTAGGCCAAATAATTTTGATAATTTAGTCTTAAATAGTGATCACATTTGGATGGTTGAATTCTACGCGCCATGGTGTGGACACTGCCAACAGTTGACACCAGAATATGACAAAGCAGCTACCGCATTGAAGGTGATCCCTATCATACTCTATTATCGTTTTTTTTTTCTTTTTTTTAAGTGTGTACATTGACTTATTTACTGTGTTCTAACAGGGTATAGTAAAAGTTGGTGCGGTAAATGCTGATGAGCATAAATCTCTTGGAGGTAAATATGGCGTTCGTGGTTTTCCAACAATTAAGATCTTTGGACTTGACAGTAAACCGGAAGATTATAATGGCCCAAGAACCGCAGCTGGTATTGTTGATGCTGCATTAAATACCGTCAGTCAAAAAGCTCGAAGAGCCTTAAGTGGCAAAAAGGCAGAAAGTGATTCTAAGGTAAACTAAAATTAATTGTGTGAGTTTTAAATATTTATAAGGAGTATTTAAATAGATAATGAAATATATAAATAAATAAATAAAAAATAGCTTTTAGTGATGACATGTAAATAGTGTTAATCTGAATATTTACTTATGTAGAGTAAAGATTCCAAGGATGTAATAGAATTGACGGATGAAAACTTTGATAAAAACATTTTGAATTCTGAGGATATGTGGTTAGTTGAATTTTATGCTCCTTGGTGTGGCCACTGTAAAAATCTGGCACCTGAATGGGCAGCAGCAGCTACCGAACTGAAAGGCAAAGTGAAATTAGGAGCTTTGGATGCTACTGTAAACACATTGAAAGTAAGATACATACTTTACTAATATTTTTTCTTACGATATAATCAATTTAATACAATTATGTTCTAACTTATTAATGTTACAGGCTAGTAAATATGAAATCAGGGGTTATCCTACCATCAAATACTTTGCACCAGGTAAAAAAGACGCTGATTCGGTACAGGAATATGACGGCGGTCGCACGAGCGGCGATATCGTTAACTGGGCGCTCGAAAAATTAGCGGAGAATATCCCGGCGCCAGAAGTGATTCAAATTACGTCTGAGAAGAACTTGAGAAATGCTTGCGAAGACAAACCAATCTGCGTGGTCTCTGTTCTACCCCATATCCTAGACTGTCAATCTGATTGTAGGAACGATTACTTGAAGATTCTGAATAATCTCGGGGAGAAATACAAGAAGAAGATGTGGGGGTATGTATAGCAAATTCATATTCATTAATCTTAAAATAATCCAAAAATGAATCTTTTTTCATATGTCAACATGATTATAGAACTGATTCTTTTTTTTTATTTTTACATTATAATTATTATAAATTTTATTTTATATTGTACTAAACAAGTGTAAAAGATTAATTAATAAAATATTAGATTAAATTAGAGATAATATAGGTAGAGATTAGTTATGGTAACTACTTTTAATATAAATCTTGAATAAAATCTGTTTTTCTGAATATTAAACTTTTTGGTAGAACCTACAATGAAACATTATGCTTTACATTATATACATTTCTAATTTGTATAATGAATAATTAGAACAAAATTATAATTACTTTTCTCATATAGATGGGTTTGGTCCGAAGCTGGTGCTCAAACAAACATTGAAGACGCTTTAGAAATCGGAGGTTTCGGTTATCCTGCATTAGCGGCTGTCAATATCAAAAAGATGAAGTACTCCTTGCTGAAGGGCAGTTTCTCATATGACGGAATTAATGAATTTCTACGAGACTTGAGTTATGGCAGAGGTGGTACTGCACCTTTAAAAGGTGCTCAATTGCCTGTTATTTTCGAAACAACGGCTTGGGATGGCAAGGACGCTGAACCTCCGCAAGAGGAAGAGATCGATCTTAGCGATGTTGTTCTAGATGAGAAGGACGAACTATAAATAATTAAGAGCCGGTTAAATTCTTTTTAGAAGAATTTGCCACATGTGAAGTACATTGTTTCTATATAAAGCTGATTAGAAACATTAATCGTGAATCGCAGTATAAACCTCACTCGCTCGGAAAATTTATTTTATCAGATTTAACATCTGTACTTGTAAGATTCTACATCGATTCAATAATTTCGTGATAAAACTTATGGTACAATGATAAAGAGCAATTCCATTATTTGATGATTTTTGTACGAAGACTTAATATAACATATATATATACATATATATATATATGTATATATATACACGATATAGTTATTTGTCGCTCTGTGTCTAAGAAAAACTAATTCTCAGGTGCAATTATCCATTTTTATAAAAACACATGTTTAATTAACTCTTCCATCTGAAAGCTAATTTTAGTCAATTTTCAATAAAGTTTTATATTGAGTTGCTTTAGTAAATTTAAACTAGTCTAGACTCGGCATAAACATATCCATACAATTCTCATATTCTCATTGTTTTTTATGTGTTTAAATAGAGAAAAAAGAAAGGATTCTTAATATAAAAAAGGAGTTCGAAAAAACGTATGTCGTGTTATGATGCATTTATTAGCCTGCTTATTTTTATGAAAAAGTAGGTTATTTAAAATACACATAGTTTATGTAAAGTCGTATATAGTTTCCTATTTGTAATAAATATACATCATACATTTACATGTATACTGTTTCTATACATTTTTTTTTTTACGAGCTTAATATATACTGATAGCTTAAGAAAAAAATTTTCCAGCTTGCAGAACTATTAATTGATTTTCCCTGTAGTGGGACCAAATTTGGAGATTGTAAAGTTCAGTCTGTCATTATAACACATGTTAATCTTTTTACACTTGTAGAAATAATATTTTGTAATATTACGTTTATTATCATCTAATTAAATAAACATATTCTATACTGAGAGTCTTCCGTCACAAGCAAAATTGATATACAATTATTTACTACTTCTACAAATAACACTTATGTTAAAAAAATTATTTTTGAGAAATGTATATATATTCAAAATGTACATTTTCAGTTTATAATCCAGTCTGATCTTTTTCAATAATTACAATAAACAGTTATTTCTGCATTGCTGTAAATGCACTTGTATAATTTATAAAAATTAATTTCTATTATTACATGTATAAAAGGTAGTACAAAAACAATAATCTTAATGTTTAATAGTTTTCTACTTGGAGATCATAAAACTGCCATTAAGTTCGTATAAAACTTAATTTAATTACTGTTAAGCTCATATAAAAATACTGATATCCTAAGTGAATGTGTACTCACTTATGTACTTATAATATAAACATATAAACTTGTTTTCTCAGTCTTTCTCTTATTGATTTAACGATACATTGTTTGATATGTCATTTAATGCATCATTTGAACTGCGATAAAGTGGCATATTGTTAGTATTGTCACTAACAGTACACACAGAATTGACTTCTGTTAGTTCTATAATATCGTAAGTCTGATCTCTCTTACATATGTATGGATACAATATAAATATATAATATGTTATAGTACTGAGTATAATTATACCTAAAATTATTGCAATTATTCCCCAAGCTGAAACACCAAGTTTACGAGCTGGAAGTGAATCTGATGCGCTTGTGGATGCTGCTGTCTCTGCTAAATTCTGATTCTTATAATACTTGGCTGGTGCGCTATCATAGTTACTGCCATGATAATTATGTTCTGTCTTATAACTTTGCCTCGAGTTCTGTGAATATACTCCACTTTCAGCTACGGAGAGGGTTGCTGCACACAAACATTTTTATATCATTAAATATTAAAAATTATTATGACAGAAATATACATAATATTAACACTGAATAAGAGAGATAACAATTATAATTAATATAATGGCAATAAAAACAAAGATATAGCATTTCAATCTTTAATGTAAGAGCTTAAAATTTGAAAATCTTCATTTTATTTACAAGAGATTATTAGAAGTTTTAACGGTTTTAACATACACTTACCAACAACCACGATAAAAGCAACAAAATACGTCGTCTTCATAGTATTTGGATTTATTTATCTGCAATTGACTTTATTATAAATGCGTAAATGAGGTCCTTTTTCGTTATTTTATCGTTAATGCAGGCAGAAATAAGTAACAACTATTCAGAAATCACAACCACAAAATGTGGCTTTTTTTTAGCGTGCCACAAACAAAAGAGATATACAAATACAACATTCCACAGCATTCCCTCCTAAAGGGAAATTTTAAATATCCCTGCTATTACCGTAGGGAATTTATCTGATGAGAAATGTTTTTAGCTCAGGTAGTAAAAGCCCGTTCACACATTGATCGCATGTCGCCAGTCGCAAGCAAATCGACCAATCACAGTCGAATATTCGACGGAATATTCGACTGTGATTGGTCGATTTGCTTGCAACTGGCAACATGCGATCAATGTAGAACGGACTAAATGTAAAAAGAGACGGAGATCCTTCAAATAGAACTTACTGATCTGGTTATGTGTGATAGAAGCAGCTGATTTGATTAACATGGCGGCATTAAAAGGATGCGTTTCGGCTATTTGCAATGTTCTACCGAAGAATATAAATTTATTAGGATATAGTGTAAGCGCAATAATTTATCATCAACAGAATTTTGTTAATAAACTATATATTCTCAATATCTAATTACACATTTTTTATACAGTTTCAGCAAGTACGAAACTTTGTTGGCTGCAGACAGTTGCGCGACAGAAAGCGTAGAAGATGGGCAAAGCAATATGCTGAAGAGCGATTACGTTTGGTTGCCTTGAAACGAAATAATATCTTACCGAAAGAGATAATAGTAAGTGATAATAATGGAAAGTGATGATTCTCCATTTTTATAAATAATATATTCATAGTTTCAATCATTTGTGAGTTTAGAATCTGCGAAGTACATAATTTACATGTAACGTACTGATATATGACTTGTTATTGGGATGTATGATTTTTATACATTGATACGCATGATTTTGACATATTAATGTTCTACTAGTTACAACAATATAATGCATACTGCTCTGTATAATCTATTTATATGCAATATTGCAATTGCCTGAATAATTAAAACAATATAATGATATTTCTAGACACTCGCCGGAAAGCAAATAGATGAAACAATTCCCAGACAGACTGCTTTGAGACAATTGACGCCAAGATGCGTGGTTACTTCTCGAGGTCGAGGTGTTGTGCTTCGGTGGAGAATATCGCGATTCATCTTCCGTGATTTGGTCGACTACAATAAAATGGCTGGAGTACAACGTGCCATTTGGTAGACTAATATACATCAATATCAATTATATATTATATTTTCATTATGTTAGAATATTAATGTAGTGTAAATAATACACAAGTGGGGATGTAAATAAAATTTTAGAAAATAAAAATTATCTTATTATATTTTCCTGACTTTACTTGTTGCTTGATTTAATATTTTTAAAAAGTACTGAACTTTTTCTTTTATACATTTTGTCACATGTGTTCTTTTTTACACTTTAAAGAATAACATATATATATTTTTTAACAGTACAATTTAAAAAATTTTGGATAATTTAATTAACTAATAAACTAATCAATTAAAAGAAAAGCTAATGTATTAATTGTCAGGCGTGTATTAAACCGCATCAAAATTATATTAACCGCTGACTATTGATGATTGCAGCTTGTAGATTCTATTTCAAGAATAGTGTGAGATACATATTGATTTCAATTATTCGATTTTACCTCACGTACTTATGTTTTTCATAAAGAAATCGATTCATAGATATGCGCGCTGTATATAAACAAGTTTCACTGTTTTCCTTCATTACTCATATCTCATTTATTAGTACATTTCTCATAACAAGTCGCATGCTTGAATATTTTATCAATCCTAACACCTAACTCGCTCTCATGCAACCGCTTATCTCGTCTCATCGAAAAATGCAAATATACCATATACTGATCTAAAGATTATAAAATGTTGTTTAGACAAATCTGATATAGCAATCGTAATGCGAAATACAATGACACGAAAGATGCGCGTTTTATCAGATTAATTATTTATCTATCATATCCAAATTTACAAATAAATTTTTTCTTTTTTTACACAAATATTTCTAATATATCTACTTTATAAAATAGCAAAATAATAAGAATAACAATCATCAAATCTCTAATCGAATAAGTAAAATATGTAAAACAGCTAATAAATTGTATAAATTGTGCAAATAAATATTTCCCATTATTAATTAGTTATTACTTTATTTATTCGATTTACAAACTAAATCTTCTGATTTTATTTTTGATTGCTTAACAAAAATAGTAAGGAAAAAATCTTCGAGTAAAAATAGATTTAAAAGAAAGGATTAAAAAATAGGATTGCAAAAAATAAGAAAAAAGCTTAAAAATTATTTAGAGAGACATAAATTTTAATATTGAAAATCGCGCATATATTTTTATGTGTTTTCTTTGAATTTGAAGTCTTTATGTACGGCGATCAATCTATATTAAAATGTCAAAACGATCGATCCCATGATCCAAGGATCAGATATTCAAAGAAGCTTAAGACAACCGTTCGTAGTTACATAAAAAGAAAAATAAAGCAATCAATACGACTGGTGTCGTATACGCGCATTGTATTCCCAATAAAGCTCCGCGTTTGAGTTGTAAGTGGTATAGTCGACTATCTGATCGGACATGCGTCGCGCACTCTGCGTAGTCGCTCTTAATTCAAGTCGGTCTTTGCTCGCTAGTGCACGTTCGACACACTCGTGCGGCGGGTTTATTCACCATCATCGGCGAAATTAATCTATTTCTTAGCCATTATCTGTATTTGCGGATGGAAATCACGGTTACAAAAGTCAGCTACGAAAAACAGGATTTCATGTGGGTACAAACTTTGCAAAATTCGAAAATATTAATTTCGCAGAATTTTGATTGTAGATTCCGAAATAATTAAAAAAGAGAATTGAGATTCTTAAATATCACTTACATACTTATATGTAAAAACTTTTTCCGTGTATTTCTAATTAATTATGATTATCAAAAATTCTTTAATCAATCTGAATCAAAATTGAAAAAATTGAGAGTCGTGAAACATTTTGCATGTACTAAGTATTGCAGATTTAAATAATTGAGGTGCTTATTTAAAACAAATTTAGTACATAAGCATATTTACTTTTTCATACTACAGTTTTTCGTAACTACGCTTTGCAATGCATGCATTTCGTATTTTCTTAATATTATCTTCTTGATCTCAAGAGAGTATGCAATAATAGTTTTAAATGCAAATAATATATAATTTAGAAATCTATTTTCCTCTTAAGACGCATTTAGAGTATTTAGAGAAATACTATATGTACATATTTAATGTAAAATTATATTTATTATAGCTATTTATAGCTATGTGACAAATAGATAGCTTTTATATAATAAGTTAATTTTTAATTGAAACATCTAAACATTTTAGCACGTTTACGTATTAATAAATCTAGACCCATAAACATATGTCAATACATTAATGTGTTATGAAAGAATTTCATTGTGAAATCGATAATTATTTATGCCGATGTCGAACTGAGATTAACTATAAATGATCGATAGCAATCAACTGTTGAAGTCGGTTGATATATAATGAAAAACATGAGTTATGTAAAATATGTTTGAATAATATCTGATATCCAGAACACGATACATGTGCACATAACAATATACATATGTATATGTGAATCATTGGCTGACATAAAAACAAAAACATGAAATGTTAAAATATATCAATATATAATAATTCTTCTATATTTCTTATTTTTTACATTGATTTTTTTAATCCAATAAAATTATTTAAAAAAAGGATTATAATGACACATTGCATATATATTAAACATTTTTCAGAAAAGTAATAACTTTTTTATTTAAAAATATCTGTATGTTATCCAATCCAAAAAATGACAACCCGGAAAAAAAAGTCCATATATGTATAATCAAATATAAATATAATTATATGTAAAATATTTCCATATATAAATTTAATATGTAATTATAAAATATACATATATAATTATA